AAAAAAAAAAAAAAAAAAGAGAGAAAGAAACAAAGGAGAAAGAAAAGAAGGAAGGCAGGCTCATTGTGTGTAGCTCATTGAGAAGCCCTTGGGTTTAATCTCCATACAATGAAATAGTTTAGGGGAGAGTGATATGTTCTAGTCTTAGGAATTGCCCATGTTCTTTTTCTTTGTCCTTAGATTGGTGCTTATGAAAGGTTTTGACTAGAAATTTTTTGTCTTTTTTTTCCTAAATCAATATTAGACTTTTAAGATCCATCATTATCCTGATGTTCACCTCATTACTGGGAAGGGTAATGTTAAAAAAAGTATAGTCAGGGGGCCCTGGGGATTTAGCTCAATGGTTCTGCTGCCTGCCTCACATGTGCAAGGTCCTAAGGTTGATCCCTGGCACCAAAAATAAAAGCACTTAGGGCCAGGGATTTAGTTCAGTGGCACTGCAGTTGTCTTGCAAGCATGAGGTCCTGAGTTTGATCCCCAGTAGCAAAAAAAGAGCACAGAAATAACGTGTTGCTCTTGGTCTCTCATTAGGGATAATAAAAGAGATGTGAGTAACACATGATTATCCTCATTAGAGATGGGTCACATTGGGGTATAGGAAGGCTTGTGTATCTTGATTTAAGAAAAAAAAATCACATGGAAATCAAAATATGAATCTAGGTCTGCCTTTCATTGACTGTATCACCTTGGATAGATCACTTTTATCCTCTTTGGGTCTTGGCTTCTGATAAAACAAAGGCAGACAAGTAGATTAAATGATTTCACATTTATTTTTCAGCTCTCAAGTTTTTAAAAATTTTCTTCTTAGTATTTTAGTTTGTTCATCCTAGGCATAGTTCAGTGTCTTTTCTATGCTGATGTTGTGTTAGGGTATTGAGAATACCTAGATGAATATCTTCTGCCTGCCAGCATTTATAATCTAGTGAGGTGTGATGTATGTAATTAGACAGTTACAATGCAGTGTGCTATGTGCTATAGAGAAGCCATTTCAAGAGGCAGTGGAAGATGGGCCAAAGAGCCACCTCTTCCCGGATGACTCAGGAGCCTTTAAAGAAAAAACACTTGAGCACATGTTTCAGGAAGAAAAGTGTAAGAGAAGGCATTCCAGGTAGAGAATGAATGGTTGCAGTCAGTAAGTGTTTGTTAATGAATAGATGAAGTTTCTTTTGTAGAATATGAAGATCATATTATAAGTTTACTGTTAATTTTAATATTTTCCAGGTTTATGGAGCCTGCAGTTATTGTTTGCCTGGGAGGAATTTTACCTTTTGGCTCAATCTTTATTGAAATGTAAGTTTTAATGATGTATTTGTGTCTTGAAATTTTGATTGTAATAAAATAATTTAGGAGTTAGGGTAAGTATAGAATCATGTGATAAGGTAGCATCTGTAGTTGTCAGAGATAACTTGTGTCACAATAACAAAATATCTGAGGTAGTTAACTTGAGTTCACAGTTTTGGAGATTCAAAATTAGGCAGATCCATTGATTTGGCCTCATGTAAGGATGGTGGATGGTAGTACCTCATGATGAGAAGAGCTTACATCACCAAACATGTAGAAGAGCTTACATCACCAAACAGAAAGTCAGAAACTGGCATCCCACAATCCCTTTCAGGGGTGTGGTCCAAGTGACCTAAGGACCAACCACTGGACCCCAGCTCCCAAAGATTCCACCATCACCCAACAGTGCCACCCTGGTGACCATGACCTTTAATCACAGTAGATCCTTGGGGACATTCAGTCTATACTCAAACCATAGCAGCATCTAACAGTTTGCTGATTCCATAGCTTCCACAAAAGGGTCTAGATAGGCTCTCTTAAGGTGGTTGTCTGCTCTGTTCTTAAATATTTAGGTGAAATTACATGTTTTGTTATATTCTAGACTTTTCTCACCTAACAGAAGAAATCAAAGCATGCATAAGAAGATTGGTAGACCAACTTTTGATTACATGTATAGTATAAGGAATTAATGTGTTTTATTATATTTGTTTAAATATTTCTAAGAATCTAAGGAATTAGGTAAACCATTATCTACTAGTCACCCTATATCCTGACTTTTTAAAATTGTAGTCATTCCTAGGTTCCCTCCTTAGAAACCCTTACTAGGAAAGCTTATATGTGTGAGCCCACTTACATGCTTCACATCTGCATCCTTCACCACTATTGTAAAATACAAGCCTTTCTTTCCACTAATACAAATACTGTTTATTTTAGGCAAGGTAGTTCTTTGTATGGGACTTTCTCACATATTGCAGACATATACCTCTGGCTCCTCTCCACTAAATTCCAGTCCTTCTGACAACTTTAAATACCCTTACACATTTCCTGATGTCCCACTCCTGATTCTGTCCTTGTAATGGAAGCCTCTGTAACAGACATAATTAGGTTGCTAGCTGGTTAATTGAAAAGGTTGGTTCATCTAAGAGAAGTGTTAAAAAAAACCCCATTCATTTATTTTAAAATAACTACACTATTCACTGATTTTTAAGTGTTTTAAAGAGAGAAAGTCTTCTCTTTGATTTGTATCTATGTGTTGGAATATCTACCATTTTCCTTTAATAGTCATAATAAAACTTCTGTGTTTCCTAGCCTTTTAAAAAGAACAAGAATATTAAGATCTATCTGAAGCGTACTAAGTACAAAGTCCTTTTAGATTCATTCATTAGTCCCAGTCTTTTACAGCCATCTTACATTTAATTTTAAAGCTTTTTTCTTTTTAGTAATTCTCCTTATTGAATCTTTCCAAAGCAGTCAATAGAATTATTATATATTTCGGTTTTGGGGGTTTGTTTTTTTGTTTTTTTTTTTTTTTGGTACCAGGGATCGAACTCAGGTCCTTGGGCTTGTGAGGCTGGCAGCAGAACCGCTGAACTACCTGGTCCAATAGAATTATTGCAGCAACCACACATCTTTTTAAAATAAAATCTCTCATCTATTGCTTTATGTAATAATTATTTGCGTCTTTAAGTCAGCTTTCCATCACCATGACAAATACCTAAGGTAAATGTACTCATAAAGAGGAAAAGTTTATTTTGGCTCATGGGTGCATAGATTTCAGTCCATCATTGATAATCAGAAGAAAAAGCCTGTTCACCTCATGCAGTCAGGAAGCAAAGTAGTATAGGGGCAAGGCTGGCTGACTGGCCAACCAGGGTCCCAAAATCTCCTTGAAAGGGGATGTTCTCAGTCACCTAACTTCCTATTAGTAGTAGGTCTCACCTCCTGAAGGTTTCATCATCTCCCCAGTAGTGCCACATGCTGGCATCCAACCCTTAAAAACATTTTTAAGGACTTTGGGAAACATTTAAGATCCAAATCCGCCGGGCATTGGTGGCATACGCCTGTAATCCCAGCACTTGGGAGGCTGAGGCAGGAGAATCCTGTGAGTTTGAGACCAGCCTGGGCTACATAGTGAGTTCCAGGTCAGTCTCCACTACATAGTGAAACCCTGTCTCAAAATACCCCCCACCCAAAAGATCCAAATCCAACATCATCTAACAAGTACAACTGACATAAACAGATATAGTTGTCACCTACCATCTACAAATATGCTGTGAACCTTAGGCAGTACCTTATAGGGATTGCATGTCACTCTAACGTGCGGTTTTATAACAGTCTAGGAACTACTTCAGTACTTCAGGCTGATAACTGCTTTGTGTTCCTACCCTGACTTGACACCACTATTTCTCTCTCCTGCCCCTGTCCCCAGTATTTCTGGATCATGTTTCTTCCTGCTTTCTCAGGTACTCTGTAACATTTGATAGCTTCTCTGCTCTTTCTTTAAAGTCTCCTCTTTTGAACACCCTCAAAGACATTTTCCTCCTGGCAGCCAAGTGATATTTTTTAACCTATCAGTCTGCTTATGTCGCTTCTTTGCTAACTTATTTTCATCATCATGAGGTCCCAACTGCATACATGGTCAGGAGAAACCTTCATAATACTGGAAATAATCCTGTTTTTTCTCTTCTTGTTGCTTCATTTAAACTTATACTTTTTTTAATTCTTTGAGTTTTTCAAAATACAGTTGATTCCCTTATTTACAGACACCTTTGTTTTTGCTGTTCTGCTGTTTCTGTGTCTGGATCACTCTCCTAGTTTCCTCCCCACCATGCCTTGTCTGAGTCTTACCGTCTCTCCCCACTCCCCACTTGTCAATAATCTCCTTGAGAGTAGAGATGTTGTCTTCACAGTTCTATTCTTTCTGCTTTCCTGGTTGGTATGTGGTGGTAGGGGGGTCTGTAAATATTTGTTGAATGAGTGATAAATAAACAAGCTAACAAACAGAAGGAAACACACAAAGGAGAGAGAGACAGAGAGATGCTAAAGATCCTGTTCAGATTTAGTGATGATTTGGGTATTTGAAGTCTTTTACTTAATGAGAAAATCTTACTGACTTTTCTGACTGTCCACTGAAGACAGTGTAAATCTTTCTTAGACTTTATTTTCCTTTTTAGAATTATATATTACTCTATTAAACTTATTTTTCTATTTAGTAGGATGTTTTAGAAAATACAAAATATATTGCTTTACTAATATCTACAAAAAATGAAGAAATTGCATTTATTTTACAAATACATATTTTTAGCTATATTCATTTGTTCTTTTTTATATTTTACTCCTTCAAACTTGTGTTTATTCAATTTGTTTAGAGATGAGTGCTCTAATCTGTTCTTGAAAAATTATAAGAAAATTTTTGAAAAAATTTTTGAGTATTTAATAAATGAAAAATGGTTTAAAGCAAGTATTGGAAATTACTTGAAGGAAAAATACTGAGATTTGTGAGATTATAGGTGAGAACTAATATGAGAACAGTAAGCTTCAAGAATGAAGATTAGAATTAGGTGTGGTAGTACATACCTGTAATCTCCTCACTTCGAGAGGCAGAGGCAGGACAATTGCTATGAGTTTGAGGCTAGCCTGGGCTGCATAGTAAGTTCAAGGCCAGCCTGAACTATAGTGAGACTCTGTGTCAAACCCCACCCGCCAAAAAAATGAAGACTAGAAACCTTTGTCTTTACTACACTGTGTAGGTATTTCATCTTCACATCTTTCTGGGCATATAAGATCTATTATGTCTATGGCTTCATGATGTTGGTGCTGGTCATCCTGTGCATTGTGACCGTCTGCGTGACCATCGTGTGCACATACTTCCTGCTAAATGCAGAGGATTATAGGTGGTAAGTGCTTACCTATGGGCGGAGCCTCCAGTCCCTTACATTTTTATAGTAATTGTCTTTGGAGTCTATTAATCGAAAGAAAGGGTCTGGTTAGAAATTTTACTACTTAATATATGGAACAGGACATTGTGTCACATGCTTGTAATCCCAGCTACCCAGGAGGCTGAGGCAGAAACATAGCAAGTTCAAGCCTAGCCTGGGCAACTTAGTAAGACTCTGTCTCAAAATGACAGGGAATGGAGATGTAGCTCAGTGGTAAGTGTGAGGCCCTAGGTTCAGTCCCTGTGCTATCAAAAAGAAAAAGTAAACAGATTTTTTAGTTATAGAAATGATGAAGATTAATAAAAAATAATATCAGATTTTTTTGTGTTAATGTTAGAAATATTTTTGCGAAATGCTTGATGTGGAAAGTTTTATGAGGAAGCATCTTTCAATTTTAAATAAGACTAAAGTGAAAAAGGAAATGATTTATTTAAAATCACTTGTAATAGGGAGTGTGACAAAATTCAAGATCTCTCCTAGTTCTTTTTTTGAGGGCGGTATCGGGGATGGAACTCTGGACCTTGTACTTTCCAGGCAGGCAGGTGCCACTGAGCTAATCCCCTGCCCAAGATCGCTCCTAATTCTTAGGTTGTCTCCTGGTTGATATCTAAGTACCAAGTACAAATATTTGTTTTTAAATATACGGAATTTTTAAAGGGTGTTTTTGTAAAATTGTTTGTTTTAAAATCTTTGCTTTAGTGCCATTCATTCAAGAGTTCTTTCTACCTCTCCCTCAGGCAATGGACAAGTTTTCTGTCAGCTGCATCAACTGCAATCTATGTTTACATGTATTCCTTTTACTACTATTTTTTCAAAACAAAGTAAGTAGAGACTTTTTTTTCTTTTTTTAATTTAGGAAATGAAATTTTGTCTTTAAATACCTTATGTTGAAAGTAAAAATAAATATACTAAGTACAGTTATTTCTTTATTGCAGGATGTATGGTTTATTTCAAACGTCATTTTACTTTGGATATATGGCGGTATTTAGCACAGCCTTGGGGATAATGTGTGGTAAGTTCTGAAATTTTGGAGTATAAGTAAATCTGAGTATCTCAGAAAAAAATGCAGCAATTGGAAATTAAGGAATTTCATTCTATTATCAGAAATACCAAAATAAATTATAATTTCTGTTCTACTGATTCTTCATAGCACATACTACATTTAGTTTTTCATCCGTTTTGAGAATTGATATTATTTTAAGCTTGAATTCATTGGAGAAGATTGTGATGTCAACAGGTTTAGGGGTTCCCTGAATGATTTCTGTTGGGCAGTCTCTTGGACTGTTAATGGAGATACCAGTGTCAGCATAGTTTACTAAGTGACTACTTGTGCATGCCTTGGGCATCTATGGACTGGACTTAAGTTTTGACTGTGCCATATTACATGTTCTATGCCTTGATCCAGTCGCCCTAACTTTCCAAACCTCTGTAAAATGAGAATAATACTACTGTTTCATTGATCCAGCGTAACTTTTATTAGAAGGAAGCAGTAACAGTTGTCACCATACAATGGGAGTCTCTGGCACTTGTGAAATAACTATAAATTAAAGATAGCATGTCTAGTGTGATGAAAGGATATAAACTTTAGAGCCCCAAAAGACCTGAATTTTAGATCTCCATGCTGCCCTTCACCTTTTTTTTTTTGGCCATAGAAGTCACATTAACCCTATCTGTCTCATTTCTCATCTATACAATGAGCATTTCTTGCAGAATTGAGAGGTTGAGGGAAACCATGTCATATGTGGAAAATACCAGGTGTACTTGGAGTGTTAGTCGCTAAGAGGGAGCCAGTTACATAGGAGAGACTCTGAGGAATAGGAAGAACTCAGATTTCTGGGTTCACTCAGCCCTAGGTAGGAATTCTGGTATCCCCACTTAATACCCAACTACTATAGTTTCTTCCTCAGCTGTCCCCATTCATTAATAGCATAGAAGAAAACCTACCTCACAGGCTTCTGCAGAGAATTCTGTGATTGAATGTAATGACTAAACCTTGGCTCATGGCAGATGCCTAGGAAGTGTTGCTGCTGCTGTTAACTGATGAGGGCTAAACATCCTTGTGTTTCTTCTGCTCAGGGATTGCAGCTGTTTTCTGCAGTCACTGTGGGGTTCTGTACATTTCATCATCTGCAGAACAATTTCATGACACTTAAGTCTAGACAGCTACTTTAAGAAAAACTCATTCACTGTCTTGTTTAATAAATGAAACTAATCAGTTTTATTTGATGAATGGATACATTTCCAGAGAGTAAATAATTCAGACCCTCCTTTTTATGTTATTTTGCCATGGACATTTCAAACAAACAACAACAATAAAAAAACCCTTCTACTTTTAGCTATAGGTTGGGCAATGGAATGGAGAAGATATGATAATTTTGTGAAAGATTGAATCTGTGTATGACATTCATGCAAATCTTTGAGGCACCAGTATTGCTTTATTCCTCCATTAAAAGAGTCTGTTCAGTTCTTATGCGCCTTGTCCATGATCATCTGTGCACACACAGATGAGATTGAATGTAAAGTAGTGAAACAAATACCACAGCTATTTTCTCTGTATTATAGTCATTATGACTGCTATTACTATAATGCAATCTTTATAGCATTGTGGCTGCTAAAAGCATTCTCTATGGTAATTAACCAACTTTGAGGGAAAGATGAATATGAGACCAAAGGTTAAAACAGTTGTGTGGAAACATCTTACTATCCTCAGGTGATCAGATGTTCCTTTCGTGTTAATGGCCATGCTTCCCTCACAGTATTACTCCCTAAACTCCTCTTTACTTTGTCTGAGATCTTTCTTCATTATCACTACTGTTCAGTGATGTGTAGAATTTTCTGTCATTATGTTGATAGCATTTTTTTTCTGGGCTTGACTCTATATGTAATCTTAGGAAAACCTAGAGAAGTAACATCTTAACATTTAGAAAGAAAGTGGAAGAATATAGCTAACTTTTTTAAAAGTACTTTTCCCATTGAAATTTTATATTGTTACCTGAAATCTTGGTACATTTATAGCTCACTGTCACTCTGGTGGTATCCTAGTACTTATCTTTTAATGGGTTGATATAGTTTATAGCTAGTCTGATTTTGGGAGTGGAGGAGATAATAATGTTCAGACTGGAACTAAAATGCTGTCATAGAATTATGCATACCCATCAACTTTTTGATTAAAATATTTAAGTCAGTGATAAAATATTTGCTGATTTTTTCAACTGTAGAAAAAATAAATGAAAATGTGGAAAATGCATAGATTATTTTGGTCTTTATGTTAGGAGAATAACATTTTTAAAGGAAATTATGTGCATCTGTTATTCCTGCTTTTATAGAAATATGCAATATTCTCTTTTTATGAAGTCATTTTTATAAGTTTATTTTTGTGAAATTTGTAAATTAGAAAACATGGCTCTTTGTATTAATGCTGGGTTTTTTTTTTTTTTTTTTTTTTTTTTGGTATTGGGGATCGAACTCTGGTCCTTGTGCTTGCAAGGCAGGTGGCGGAACTGCTGACCTAATTCCCCAGCCCTTACATTTTTGATGGTATTAATTTTTTTTTAGATTTTTAAAAATAAAAATCCAGGTTTATTTTTATAAAATTGAATGCTTTTTTTCCTCTTACGTTTACAAGAACTGTAGTATAACTATTTTAAAATCTGTTATTATTATTTTAAAGTATAGTCTTAGTTCATATTATAAGAGATATGTCTAGTCCTTGCAAAAATAACTGAAAATAGGTTTGCTTTGATATTTTCATAGTTTTTTAAAAATTTCAGTATTTAATTATGGGAAAATTTCAAATATTTACAGAATGAGAGACATATATATAGTGAGAATCCATGTTCCCAGCCCCCAGTATGATGATTATAGACTCATGGCTGGTCTTGTTTGTTATACCGTATCCCCATTTTATACTCTTCTTCCCTATTTGGAAATCTAATCTTAGATTTTTTTATTTTCCCCAGTAACTGGGATTGAGCTGAGGACCCAGCGCCTTGTAAGGCAAGCACAGTGCCACTGAATTAAATCCCCAGCCCAATCTTAGATTTTTGTATCATTTCATTTGTATTTCAGTGTAAATCCCTCTGTAAAAGATAAACGTAATTCCTTAATATCTGAGCCTCACTCATTCAAAACATTGAAAAACTCCCAATCTACTTATCTATTTCCAAATACTTATTGTGCTTCATGCCAGTCACACAGCTTCTATGACTTAAACATTTAAAAAAAGACATCAGAAAGTATTTCAGTATATATTTGCAGAAGTCAGTAAGACATAGTTTTCTCTTCTTCTCTGAGAGTATTCCTCATCCACTCTTATTTGGGAACACACATTGATACTGCCTTAATGACCTAGAATATGTGCTTAAGTCAGATAAGGTATGTTTTTCATTTAGCAAAGTTTTGTCATTACCAAATTAGTCTTGCTTTTATAGGAGATATATTTTAATTCCATAGTTACTGATTGTACAACTAATTAGTGGCTCTTTGATTTAGAATCCAATTGCATTATGTCAAACTTGGTGCATAACGTAACAAATACTTTGCAAAACAAATGATACAGTAATAAGTAACTTCAAAGAGAATGCTAATGTAAAGGTACCTTGAAAAAAAGTAACTTTCTAGACCAGAGAGTATATAATGTTTGTAAATGATGGATATCATTTTATATTATTTCAGACTTCTTATTTTCTCTTTGTAGGAGCAATTGGTTACATGGGAACAAGTGCCTTTGTCCGAAAAATCTATACTAATGTGAAAATTGACTAGAGACCCAAGAAAACCTGGAACTTCAGATCAATTTCTCTTTCAAAGGGGTGGAACTCGCACAACAAAAAGCGCAAGAAGAGATTTGGGCTTAACACTGGGTACTTTGTGGATGTCTCTTTCATGGATGGCTTAAAGTAACATCTATATCCATTGATCCTAGGTTCTTACTGACTGCTTTCTCCAAATGTTCACAGCAAATGCTTGGATTTATGCAGTAGGCATTACTACAGTACATGGCTAATCTTCCCAAAAACTAGCTCATTAAAGATGAAATAGACCAGCTCTCTTCAGTGAAGAGGACAAATTGTTTATTTAAAGCATTTGTTCCAATAAAAGAAATAGAGGGAAACTTGGATGCTAAAATTTTACATGAATAGAAATCTTCCTGGCACTTAGTGTTTCTGTGTTATTGAAGAATGATGTTCCAGAAAGATGACTTTTTCCTCTTATTTTTACTGCCATTGTTGACCTATTGTGGGACATTTTTATATATTGAATCTGGGTTCTTTTTGACTTTTTTCTTTTTTGATTCAACTGCATCCTTTTTAAAAATATTCTGCTTGTAATATATCTGCAATCATCTTAGTTGGATGAACTTCCCATTTGTTTATCTTATAATTACCATTTATATCTTAATTCCATCCAAAGAAGATAGAGCCTGAAAATAGAGGTGTACTCTCTACAATGCAACTTACTCTACAGTTAGCAAAAAAGTTAAATTGAGAAGATAATTGCTTTTATTAAACATTTTGAGATTTAGATAAACTACATTTTAACTGAATGTCTGCAGTAATTATCATTTTTCCCCCAAGTTAGTCTTACATCATTTTTGGGTTTGAATGAAGGTGTTACATAAGACATTAAAAACAAGGGGGGGATGGATAATAAATGTATATAACATTAAATAATGTAATGTAGGTGTAGATTCCCAAATGCATTTGGATGTACAGATTGACTGAGGAGTACTTTTTTCTGATGATGATTGGTGTAGCAATGTGTGAATTTGGGTGGCTTTTTACATCTTGCCTACCATTGCATGAAACATTGGGGTTTCTTCAAATGTGTGTCATACTTCTTTTGGGAGGGGGGTTGTTTTCTTCTGTTTCTTACCTGAAACTCCTACAGGAGTTAAATTTGTAATTTAGAAACATTAATTTTGTTAATACTGTCTGGGACACTTAAGTAACATCTAAAGCATTACTGCTTTAGAATGTTCAAATAAAATTTCCTGACCAAATTATTTTGTGGAAATAGATGTGTTTGCAATTTGAAGATACCTGTTCAAAAGCAATACTAAATGCTGGTTAATTTTGTTTAATATACTATAAAAATCTGCTTTTCTAATACAGAGGACCCCACTTAAAATTTCCAGACTTGCCTATTTTTAGATTATTGAGTATAGTCATAAAGTGAATGACAAGCCCTTTGAATGAAATCATGGCACAATACCTGATTGGTGTAACATGTAAAATGGGATGGGGTATGAGTGGCTAGCTATTGGCTGAACAAGTACAGTTTTTTCTTCTTTCCTCCCCCTCCCTTCCTTTAGTAGTACTAGAGAATGAACCTAGGCCCTTTTACACTGAGCTATTTCTGAGCTCTTATTTTGAGACGGGGGCTCGCTAAATTGCCTGGGCTAGGCTCAAACTTGGGATCCTCCTGCCTCAGCCTCCCAGAGTGCTGGGCTTACAGCATATACCACTATGTCCAACTTAAGGTTACAATTTTTGTTGTTGTTGTTGTTTTGAGACAGGGTCTCACTATGTAGTTCAGACTGCCCTGGAGCTCACTGTGTAGCCCAGGTTGGTCTCAAACTCACAGATATCCTCCTGCCAGAGCCTCCCGAGTGCTGGGATTACAGGCGTGTGCCACCATGCCCGGCTAAGGTTATAGTTTTTAAAAAGAAGTGATTTTAATTTTGAATACATTTTTTTTCTGGAACTCTCCATAATGTGAAGTTTTCCTAGAACCACTGAGTTTCTAGATTAATAGTTTACTATGCAAATTACCTCTTAAAGCTACTGTATATTGGTATTTTTAGAAAGACTCAAAACTCTATTAAACTTTAATGTGAAAATCATGCCATTAATAGTTACATGAAATGTTTTTATCACAAAGGATGTTTCTATAAAATGATAGGCTCCATATCATACATTGTGGCATATAAAGAGTTAAAGTTTGATTACTTATCACTTAAGTATGTTTGATGTGAACAAATTTGATCAAAAGCTGTGTGTAGACCCTCTTCTTCAAGACTGAATGTTAAATCTCATTCTTCCAAAATTTTTTCTTTGTTCTCACTTGCCTTTATGATCTTATTAAGAAACTTAAAGGTTGATATTTAATTGCTTATCTCATATAACTTTTAAACATAAAGTACTTTTAATCTAAGAATATATAGTTTATCTGATGGAATATCAACTATAGAGCACACTTTCTTAATGCAGTTTTTTTTCTCATGATATAAATCTTGCAGGAAAGATAGGGTTTTAAAGAGGTGGTTTAGCGGTTGGCAGTTGCACCAACTTTTTTTACTGAGTTGAGTTCTGAAGCTTTGAAGTTACTTAAATCTGCAGTGAAAAATAATTTTCTAATTTCCAAATACATTAGGAACATTAAATTACCTTGAGGGTCCTATAGAAAATGACGTGTGGTTTTTGGCTTTCTTGGGTGGCCAAGTAAATATGTGTCTTAAAGAAGATATAGTTCACAAATAGCTCCCTAGCTGTCAATTGTAGAATAGTAAAATAGAATATTTTTTAAGTTAATTGAAGGCTGGGGTTTTTCTGCTCCATTAATGCTGCATAACTCTTCCATTTGCTAACTGCTCAACTCATCAACTGACACTTTGAACACTATCAAAAACTAAAGTTAAACTTTATGTAGCTTTAAGCATGCTTCTTCTGAAATTTAACTACATTAGGTGTTGACACTGTTAATACACATATCTCAGTATAAGAGAAGGTAAAGTAGAAATGCAGTGACTGGAGGAAGGCTAAAGTATCTTTTTGTATATTGTGTTGGGTGCCTAGATCTTATTGGGCTTGCCTGTAAATCAGACCCCGTACTGTTAGAATTCCGTATATTGCGATATCTGAACCTAGTGAATAGTGTGCTTGGGTGTTTCCCACTGAGAATGGATAAATCCTCATAGTGGTGGTTGCTATAAATTCCAATGCTTCCAAATGCCACTTTTTAAAAGGTTTGTCCACAAATTGTATTCATTTTGATAGAGCATTTGTTTCCTAAATGTTTATTAACTACTTTATGCCAAATATCTTGGAAATAAATGTTATTTTAAAACTTCCCAAATTTTTACAAATGTAAAAAAGAAAAAGTATATTAATGTAATTTGTTCAGGAAAAGCTATGTCCTGAAGGGCTTCTGTATATGAATTCTAGGGGGGAGAGCCTGTTTGTAAAGGTCAGTACACTGCAGTTTTGGGCGGGTTTTAGGTTTAGGTTGCAGTGTATCTTAGTGCTTTAATCTATCAATTTATTGGAACATATAGTGATATATGAACACAGATATTCATTAATAGTTTATATCTTCATTAAAATTCAATAGTTTATGAAGCTGTGTTTTAGCAATCAAGGTACTGTATTAAAGAGGTCAGAAATTTTTGGAAGAGTATACAGAGATAGACTAGATTTACAAATAGTGTAGATCAAAAAGTTAACATATACCTGCAGAAATTTTGTAAGTTTTAAATTAAGTATGAGGAATAACTCTAGTCTCTCTCATATGAGCATTTCCTAAAAGTTGGATCATTCTTTTTGAGCTATTGATAGGTATGTACAACACAAAAATAAAATGAAATTCTTGTTTAACTGTTAGTAAATGGAAACAAACTGCTGTGAAAGCTGCTTATAATGAAGCATTGGTGAACTGGGCCTGTTAATAAAATTGACAAAAGTATAGTGTATGAGCCCCCAGTTCTTCAGTTTAGGTCATTTGAAAGTTACAAACATTTTTAAGAGCTTAAGGCGAGGAAAATTCATGGAATTTTATTTGAAGGACAACAACACTCTTGGAAAAGCAGTCCTACTTGGTCTTTTCATCTGCGTTAAACTTGAACCTAAAAATCCTCACAGAGCACGGGCAGTCAACAGAGTTGGAAGGAAAGAAACAGTTATTGCCTGATGATCACTTCCATTTTGTAAACACCCTTGATTTGTGAAGGCCATATTCCAACTGCCTTTTTAGTAATGGAACTCCAGTATATAATGTATCAAATACAATTGAGGTTCTAATCTAGTCTGTTAATTTATCTGGAGATGGATTTTTTAAAAAGTAATAAAAACTTAAATGTATTTCCCTTGGATACTTTCTTTCTTTCTTTCTTTTTAAAACAGGAGAGTCAAGCGTAAGGGATGACCCACTATTGTAGACCTGCTTATGAAGAGATTACTTGCTTTCAGTTAAGTAAAGCAGGGGTCAGCAGTCACGAAGAGCCAGAGTGAATAAGCATTGAGGTCTGTCTGGTCTCCACTGCAGCTACTCTGGCATTGTACCACGAAGCAACCACGGAAGACAGTACACAAATGAGTGCATGTGACTAGGTTCCAACTTAAAGTGAAACAGCTCCTGGGCCACAGTTTGCAAAGGACCTCTGAAATGAAGGGTTTAAAATTTAAAGTTTTATTTTCCTTGCTAAATTTATATGTTGGAGAAAATTTTAAAGTACAGAATGGTTGAAAGAATGTTATAATAAACAAGATTTATCTTTTTTTAAAAATGGCTTTACTTTATCACCATTCTTTTGACTATGAAGTCAAAAACAGTGAATGTGTAATTTTAGGAAGTTTTTGTTACAGTAAATGATTGTTTGCCATTAGTACCCCCTCAGAATACTTCATACACTTACCATTTTTGCCACTTGCTGAGGCAGTTCTGGAGTCCTTTCATTACTGTCTTTAGTTGTGCTGTTGTGGCTCCTTGATGTCCTGAAGTGATTCAAGACGTTTGCCTTTCATAATTGTTTGATTTTGGGGAGAAGTGAGAAATCACATGCCAGGCCCGGTAAGTAATGTAGATGAGGACATTCTGTAATTGTATGGCACTCAGCAGCAGCATTCACTGCTTTTTTGATAACACTTCCTAAAGGATTTCTAGAACTGCTTCAGAAAGTGGCAAGGGAAGGGAGTATTTTGAAGGAAGTTAATGACAATGTATCTTTTACTCTAATATTTAAAAATGTTAAAATGTTCAGGTATTTTGATTACTGTGCACCCACACTTCAAATCCTACACTCAGATCTCACCACCCTTTTGTCTTTCACTCTCCTGATTGATAATACATTGCCTTTATCTAGTTGGCACTTAATACTTTTTCAAAGCAGTTTCGTGTATGTTACCCTTAGGACCATCCTGTGAAGCTGAAAGGGTAGAATAGTAAGTAAGATAGCTAGAGCGGCTTCTATTTTTAGCCCAAAAGTAATCATATAGGGCCGTTGCCTTGATAGTTGTAGCTATAAAACAGCTATCATCGCTCCAGCCTGATAGGCAGATAATATATATAAAGTCACACTGAATATCCGCTTTTTACAAATGAAAAAATTATTTTTATCCTACATTGAAATTAGTGGTTAATTTCTCCATGTTTATGTGTACTTTTTGTTTTTCATTTTTAACTAGTTTTTGAGATCCTTATCAACCTCCTTGGTTCTTTTCATCCCTTAATTTTATTTGTTGTCTCTGTCAGCACCTATACTTGGCAATTCCTGCTAGACAAATAGTAAGTCGGTACAAAATTGTGATCCTGTCTCATCTCTTTAATGAGCACTTTTTGTTTGGCTGGAAAACTAAGGGCAGAAGGAATTCTGTTCTGTAGCCAGCTTTTCAAAGTAAGCATTATAATAACAATCTACAATATAACATTTGAAAAAGAGGAGATAGGCCTACATTGGGACAAGTGAAAACAATCTACAAAGGTATTTAAAATTATTTAAAATGATTTTTATTTTGAAATTTGCATGTTTAAGGTGACCGGAGTTTCAAATTTTAATGGAAATGGTTGCAGGGAGAAGTTTTAACTGGCCAGCATTCCAGTTATTAGCTACTCATTCTAAGCTACCAAGATCACAAAACAATTCTGAAGATCACTAAAGGGAAGGAGAGGTCTAATGAGACCTGATGGTGGTTCAAAAGCAGAGTTGGCCAGGGAGGTCTGCTGCAGTTTTCCGGAAAAGTCAGTTTCCCCATGGGATTTAATTTAAAGGAAAATATATTTAAAATTATTTGAATTCAGATTAGAGTTTACTGTAAAAATGATGAATAAAATCAGGAGCTATAGAACTGATGAGAAAAACTGATAGTCTCTATTATTCCTAACACAATCTAAGTATTTTGTTGCTGTTTGTTTTGTGATGGAGTAGTATCTAACTAGGTCTTCTGTCGTAAAACTACAGATAACTCATGAAACAACAGTCTTCAAAATATTTGAACAAAGGGTATTGATGAAAAGACCTAGCAGCTACATCCTGGGGATTAGAGGCGGTAAAAGCTCATAATCTTAGGACATGCATAAGAGGTGGCCTCTAATGTCTACTTGCCAGAGGGATTCCCTGCTAATGAGGAGGCCAATTGGCTGTTTGCCTAGTGCCATCTGGAGACCTGGAAGTGTCACAGAAGTTTGTTAGGTCTTTTAGATGTTGACTTTGTGGACTCGTCTAGTAACAGGTGGTGACCTTCACTGGGGTGAACGCAGAGAACTGTGGCGTTGGGTTTGACTCCTTCCAGCATTCAGGCAGAAATGCCATTCCCACACCTCTTGCCTGTTAGTGGCCACTTGGCCTTGCCTACCATTTGGTGGCATCCACTTCTGCTCCATTCCAAAACCCATTTCCTAACCAGATATTGTTCAATCTAGCTCCGCCTTGTATGCACCCATTTGATGAGAACTCAGATGACAGGAGAGTCAGGGTCAACTCTGTATTTCTTGGTTTGAAGGAATGATTAGTTGAGGACTTATCCTAAGCGATGGCAAACCTTTTAGAGATGAGTGCTCAAACTGCAACCCCAAATCCACTTATTTACCTGAAGGTGAGAACACTACAATTAAACCTGCATACTGAAGTTTTATTTAGAAAAAACTCATATATTAATGTATTTTATCTTAAAAACAGCATGCGTTCTGTAGATCTGCCACGACTGTCCTATGTAACAAGAAAAAGCAGATACCATAATGTAAGAAACTCAGAGTACTGTGTAAAACTAGCTCTGGGGCTCCTGATAACTATTATATCATTAGAGGCTGTGAAACCATGAAGAAAACGGCCCATTTTCTCCTTGCAATTTAAATTTTTAAAATTCTGGATCTGATGCTAGAAAGCTCAGCACACACACTGATGTTATACTTTTTGATTAGGACAATTTTTCTTACAGAAAAATCTTTTGAAAGCTTCACAGTAACACTCACGTCTATCAAAATGGCTCAGTTCTGACTATTTTTACATTTAAGGTACAGCATAAAAGTGGGTTTCAATAGCTTTTGATTATTCTTTTAAATTATTTGGGCATGTGTTTTTCATTGGCAGAAAAAAGCCGAATTTCAGAAAATGGTCATTTTTATTCTATCTGGTAAATGGTGAGGGGCTTATTTGATAAAACATGCCTGTAATTGTACATAAAAAAACACTTCCATTTGTCCATCTTTTTGCTTGCAGGACGCTCTTAGGCTGTTTGACTAAAGGGCGGGACACCTACAAAGGCAATCTTATTTTAAATCGTTTTTCTTTACAAATTACCATTCACTCCCCCGAGGTAGATGGGTGCTGCCGCGAGCCGCCTTCCCGGCTGGACGAGGGGATGTTGAAAATTCAAAAGAATCAGAATCATAAATCCTCATTTTTTTTCCTGCACCAAGAGGGCCATGAAAGACATTTCAGTTCATGCCTGCAGAGAAGCGATTGTCCGAAAGCGCATAGCGAGTTGGTAGCGGTGCGGACCGCTCGCGCCTGACTGCTGGGCCTGCTCCTGCCTCGGTCCACGTGTGCACCGGGGAGTTGTAAAGTGAGTTACGAGAATAAAACGAGGCGGGAAGCCCGGCTTCGGTCTCTGAAAGCAGTGTTCCGGGGTCAGGGGCCGAGGCAGGGCCAGGCCAGGCGCTGGTCTTCGGCTGCTGGGCGCCACCGGC